ATGGCTGTCGGAATGAATTAATTTCGTAAGTAGAGGTACCACTGTAATTGTTTCAGCTAATGTAGTAGACACCAAGAATGGCTTCTAGAATGAAAGTAGACAGAGTCACATACAAATTTTTGGTAAAACATCCATTTAATCATTTGCCTAAGCTTATAAAATTGCTATACATATAGGAAGGGGTTGCATGAATGCTTAGCTAACTTTATTTATAGTTCACACAAACCTTTATGTATGCACTTGGATAAATTTTGTGAACTGCATCGCCTGGTGCACGTCCTGCCTCTCGATCTAAGTAGTAACTCTGAACAAAGACCGCATGATCGCTGAGGCACCGAACCCATACATCACCTTCACCTTTACATTCTAGCTGCACACCTTTACCTATATGCAACCTGGGGAAAAGAAAGATAAGAGCATTCCAATGGACTCAACAAAATGGGGGAAACAAGTGATAGGTGAATAGATCACTAAATGCTCTTAGAAACACATGCTTTTTATTTTATATGGTCCTTCAAAGCTGTACTTCATTAGTTTCAGCTGCAACTCAAAATTTAAACATTTCTTTAGTCCTAGATCTGGTCATAAAACTGTATTCAGATAGAGCTGTACAAAAAGCTACAGTGAGTAATTTTCAAGGCAAACCAAGGGCAACTTCAGATCCTCAGGAACTCTGCAGGCTCATCACTTACCTGTGCTAATACAGAGAAACTCTCCATCCCATCCCACAAGGTACAGCAGGGGCATTATGTAATATCTGTAAAGCCTGTTACAACTGTATAAAACACCAAATTTGAATTTAACATTATGATATCTAGGGGAAAACTCAACAGGAAAACAAATCAACAGTTGCACTTAGAGGAGCATGTTTCATGTCAGCTTCTTTGTTTGCCTCACTGATAATGCTCTGAAGTGATGTGATCAACAATTGCAAGTTGTGATACCTATTTAGATGATAAAAAGTCAACAAAAAGCTTACAAATTCTTTAGGAGATTCCTAATAAGGTTGGATGGTTGTAGATCTATCTAAAAACAATGAAAACTGATGTCACAGCACACAAAATGATCTGCCTCGAAACTGTTTTGACATAAAACATACAGAAAGCCAACAAAAAGATGATGTGCCACTGCAGAATTATGAAGTTTACTCTGTGGTTCATACTTTGGGTAAGGAAAAGCTTTAACAGGAAAACAGAGAAAAAGATTTTTTTTCCCCTCTGAGTAAGCGTACACACATGCTATACCAAGTGTTCCCCTTATCAAACTATTATGACATGTTAAAGATGAAAACTGCAAAAAATGAAGTTTTTTTTAAAGGGTGGGGGAATGGAAAGCCAACAATCAGTATGCCATTTAACCATGAAGTCAGATGAGAGGCAAGCAGCAGCTCTCATCACTTATAAAAATGTCCATGTCACGATAGTTTAACCATTAGAAAAAAAGAGGGAGTAACACTTTAGTTGCTGTCTGCAGTTACAAACAAGTGTACATATGAGCCCTGTCAACAGACAGCTTCCTGAATTCCACCAAGTATGTACTCATTTCTAGTGAGAGACTGACCATATCCTCAGGCAATGTTAACAGTCTGACCCTGCAAAGTCCTTTCCTGGCAGTTTTACACACAACAGGTGCAAGTAACAGGATGAAGACAGGGAAAGGCGCCAATTCTCTAGTAATAACAGAAAACTACAGATGCTCTGGAAATGCTTCTGTTCTACTCACACATTGAGATGCATTTCACACACACAGGCATCTGGATTTCCATGTGCTTGAAGACCGGCACCTGAAGTGATTCCCTTGGAAAGCACTATGCATGATGCAATAAATTTAACCCACGTGTCAGATATGCAGTAGTTTATTCACAGATGCCAGGTATGCCCTGAATTAAGAAATTTTATTTCTAAACCTAACATTTTGAAATGAATGTGTTTCTACTTTTTCTGATCTTTAGAAAAATTTACTTTTGAAAACACAGCTGGCTGGGACAACAAGCGGCCTCATCACTAAAATAAGCAGTCCTGGATACAACAAATCCCAGCAATAAAACAAAATTTCAGCTAAACTGGGAAGAGTTACTCAGAATTATTTTAATCCTAATTTGTGTTCTTTTTTCTCCCTTGCAACATATCAGTCTTATATTCTGAAGAGGCAACCCTACTTGAAAAATCACACAGTGCTCATGACCTCATAGCCTTTCCAGGAAAAGGGGTGCCCTGCTGAGTGAAAAGTGGCCAGCTTGCAAGATTCCTCTCTCAATGTTTCCTAATAAACACAAAGAGGGTCAGTGCTGCATTTCACCTTGTATGTTTAATAAGGTTAGCAGCTCACAGCCTCGCCTGCTATCTGAATGGAAATGGAAAGTTCTGAATGGAATGGAAAGTTCTTGTCTCCCTCACCTCTTTCCAGACACCTCTAACTCACATTCATCCTCCACAAACTACAAAAAAATAAATTAAAAAATTGGTACATTTTAGTCTTTGTGTTTTTTCATGTTTTTTAAATCAATTCACTAAGGTACTGATGACAAGAAACAGCACACGCTTATCACAAGTAATACATAAGCAACAATCAGCATTAAAGTAAAAATAATGCAAATTGTAACATTAGCTTTTCCAATACATCTCCAAACAATAGTTATGTCACAATGTAGAGTCCCTGCCATCCTTCCTCTGCTTTCACTCCAGAATCTCAAATACACTCAGATAACTATAAAAATAGGTTAGGTTCATTCAATTATACTCTTGTTGGAAGTAAAAGAACACAGAACCATGCTTGTACACATGACTACATACCAACAGGGGCCATGAAGGTAGATTAGGGCTCCCTGGTGTTTTCTCTCTTTATATTTTTTGCTCCGACACTTCACCTATAGACTGGTACACTGAAGTCTAGACTTCACTTCTTTCCAGGTACCTTTCTTTCTTTCTCTCAGTTCTGTCACCAGTGGCTGCAGACCCCATCTTTCCTCTCTTCAACATATGTACTTCTCTAATAAAACCTTTTCTT